GGCGCGGCACGTGCTTGAGAAGAGAAGGACCGATGTGGTACAGAAGGATGTGGAGCTGATTGGACTTGCCGATGAATGGTACCAGCGGAGTCAAGATCGGCATCTGTGGAGGAGGTTTGTGAAGGACGCTGCTGGGCCGTTGGAGGCAGTCACCCTTCACCAACAATGGAGGGAAGAGGAGCGACCCTCATAACAACGAGCAGAGCCCAGGGCGGCTAAAATTCATAATGTTGCCATAGCGGGGTGCACAGTTGGTGCATCTGCCAGTCATCTGAGCCAGTCAACTCGTAGCACCCGGGTCTGTTCCGTGACCTCCTGCCAGCGGCGGAGCCTTCGACACTTCACGTGGCCTCAAAATGCACCTGGCCTGGCACAAGCGCCGTGGTGACGTCACCGCTATTTTGTGGCGAACGGCGGTCGTGGTGGTGGTGAAAGATTGAGAGAAGAAAACGCCCAACACGCAGCTACAGCAGCGGCAGCAGCCCAACCCAGAACACCAAACCGCGCTCGCATCTCAAGCGGCTGCGCAGGCGTGCGCGTTGAGCGCGCGGTATTTGTTTAACCCGAAAGTCAGTGGGAATATTAATTTGTAGCACGTCGCCCAGGCAGACAGACAGAGAGACAGTCAGGCAGCCAGACAGACAGACAGGCAGGAAGCCAGGCAGACAGACAGCCAGGCAGCTAGGCAGGCAGACAGACAGGCAGGAAGCCAGGCAGCCAGGCAGGCAGACAGACAGCCAGGCAGCTAGGCAGGCAGACAGACAGCCAGGCAGCCAGGCAGCCAGGCAGCCAGGCAGCCAGGCAGGCAGGCAGCCAGGCAGACAGACAGCCAGGCAGGCAGCCAGGCAGGCAGACAGCCAGGAAGCCAGGCAGACAGACAGACAGCCAGGCAGCCAGGCAGGCAGACAGACAGAGAGGCAGGCAGACAGACAGCCAGGCAGCCAGGTAGGCAGACAGACAGCCAGCCAGCCAGGCAGCCAGGCAGGCAGACAGACAGAGAGGCAGGCAGCCAGGCAGGAAGGACTGACAGTTCACAACTTTCGACCGAACCTTGGTAGCTTGTAAACCAGATCGCCCGGGACGGTAAACTTTTGAACCTTGAACTAATGCGAGGGTGCGCCTTGCCCTCCCGTTGCACTCAGCCCGTGGGAGGGAGTGGGGGCGGCATTGGGGGGGGGGGGGGGGAGAGAGAGGGGTGGTGGTGGTGGAGTAAAAAAAGGCATCACAAATGCTGGTGTTTATTTGCAAGGGATGATTTAAAGCCCCAGCGGCTCACAGCCATAGCCGAATCCACCCCCCCCCAACCCTCTCCGTGGGCCAAGCTACACAAATAAACGAGCCGCACAGAGTTTATGGAAACGCGTGGGGTTGCCGGAGGGTCACGGGGGGTGGGGGGGGTTGGGGAGGGAGGCCGGATTGGGGCTGCGCGGGGTGCTAGCAGCGGGGCGAGTTGATCGAGGGAGAAAGTTTGTCGCGGAAGGTGAAAGACGAGCGGGCGAGTGGGCCCACCGTGCGCTCCGTTACGCTGCTGCGGCGGTGGCGCCGTGGCCGCAAGGTTCGAGCCCGTCGCTGATGCGTCCATCCGTGCGCGGTAACCCCGTTGATGATTGTTTTTTTTACCCTTCTATCTGGCAACAAAACTGACACCTTTTTTACAAGAAGTCATGTTTGCATAGACCACAATACCTGCGGTCATAATGCAAACAAAAAACATAACTCTAATAATGTATGCACTGTCCTTGAAGTTGATTGGTCCACACCCGAGACAGCTTTCCTTAGAGCCTAGTCTCTCGCATGGGTTGGACCAGATGACGCCAAAAGGCGCACAACTCAAAGACAACGCACCATCAGAGTATGAGAGCTCCGGGTAAGTATTTACACCATTGGAACCTCATTTGCCAGTAAAAAATATGATAATTGTTTTTTTACCCTTCTATCTGGCAACAAAACTGACACCTTTTTTTACAAGGAGTCATGTTTGCATAGACCACAATACCTGCAGTCATAATGCAAACAAAAAACATAACTCTGATAATGTATGCACTGTCCTTTTTTTTGTTTGCATTATGGCTGCAGGTATTGTGGTCTATGCAAACACGACTCCTTGTAATAAAGGTGTCAGTTTTGTTGCCAGATAAAAGGGTAAAAAAACAATTATCATTTTTTACTGCCAAATGAGGTTCCAATGGGGTCACCCCGTCGTTCGCAGTCCGCTCTGCCGAGTTGCGCCATTGAAGAAGGTGTCGCGGGGAGGGAGGGGGTGGTCCTGCAGTGTGGGCGGGGGCGGTTGCCGATTTTTTAATGGTTGAGAGTCATCGAGAGCAAAGGGGCAGTGGGGCGAATGGACTTGATCGGACGGATTCGTCCCGGCTCGGGGAGAGCCCACCACCGTGCGCTGGAAATAGACGGGCTCGGAACGTGTCGGGCAGTTCTCCGTCTGTGTTGTGGATTTCCGAAATGCCATGTTTTTATGGGATCATACAGTCATGTGCATGCACCGCCACCACCGTCGTGAGCCGTGATCGTCGTCACGATCTATCCCAAACTACAGTGAAACGACGACACCCACGGTCTCCAATCCTCTTATTGTCCACGATCCCTCTTTAACTGTGTGGTCGCACCAATCTGGTCATCCCGCCCCCACCACCACCACCAGAGTCTTCAAAGAACAAAACTTTTGTGTTAACCTGTGGCCACCCAATTTAAAAACGCCACAACCGTGTTTGTTAATTGATAGGTTAGTGATGGGGCTGGGAGGGAGGCTGGTTGTCTCTTAATCATTTACGTCCATTGCACACGGCGAATTAAAGCGTCTCGAGAATTCAAACAATAATAATAATTATCTGAAAGTGTTGTTTAACCCAGGCCTCTAATTATAACCAGGCGAGAGCGCACATGTGAACAAGCGACGCGTCAGCGGCTCGGCGATTATTGTTCTCACGAGAGGCGGGCAGCGGTCGGAAATTTTGATGATCACGGTGGTTGTCGGGTCAGTGGGCCTGGTAGGCTGACGGGCTAGTGCGCTCACGGGTTGATATGCTGGTGGGCCACTCAATTGGTGCAATAGTGGGTTTATGAACTGCTCAGCCGGCAGGCTTGTGGGTTGGTGAACGGGTGGGTTAGCGGACCGCTGTGTTCGTGTGTTGGCAGGGCTGGTAGACCGACGGGCTAGTGCGCTAGCGGGTTGATACGCTGGTGGGCTGCTGGATTGTTGGAACGGTGGTGTTGGCGAACCGCTGGGTTGGCGGGCCGGTTGGCCGGTGGGCTGGTGGCGTTGATGGGCTGGCGGCGGGGCTGGTGGGCCAGCGAGCGGCTAATGTTCTCCGTTGCGTCGGTCACGCCGAGGGTAATGGCATGCTAATGGCGCTCTTAGTTGGCGGGGCCCAATTACCCGTGAACAAGGCGCCCCACCGCGCGCCGCGGGCGCGCATTGTGCGCCGCGATTGCGTGCGCCCATTGTGCGCGTACGAGACACTGTGTGCGCGCGTGTGTGTGTGCGTGCGTAATGGGGGAGCGGTGGTGTAGCGGTTAGCGCACTGCGCTATGAACCTGGCGACCCGGGTTCGATTTCCGCTCACGGCCAACAACGGTGACGATTATCTGAACTGGTCCTGGGTCTCCCCTAGGTCGACTCAGCCTGAAATGAGTACCCGGTGCGGTGTGTAAACATCGCCACTGGGGAGACAAAGACGGTCGGGCGTGGTGTTGGCCACCCACCCCCTCGTGTACCGTTCCGGCCTTCATAGGTGCTCGCTAACAGCACTTGCCCCTACAGTCTGTTAAGGCTATACGGGGGATCTTTGTCTTGTAATGGGGAGCGGCGGTGCAGCGGTTAGCGAGCGCCGCTGCTCTACGAACCCGGCGACCCGAGTTCGATTACCGCTAACGGCCAACACCGGCGCCGCATGTACTGATTCAAGGATCCATTTCTGTACTGCCATCTCCCGAGCGTCTCGCAGCCCTCGACGTGGCAACGCTTCGACTCCCAGGCAGTCTCCCGGCCACGTACTGACCAGGCTGCAGCCTGCTTAACCTCCGAGTTCGGCCGATATCGTCACGTGTCGTGTGTCGGCATCCCAGCGGCAAGATGTTAACTACCTCAATCGATATACAGGCGGTCGTAGGTTCGATCCCGACCCTGACGCCTGTTGTATATTTTGAGTTTGTGCGTCTTTCTCTCTCTCTGTCTCTCCCTGTGGTCATGTGGATTTTTCTCCGGGTCCTCCAGTTTTTCCCTCCACATGGGAAATCAACATCACGCGATCAGAGCATTTGGCTGCTGTAAATTTCCACGTGACAAGCCACTTGGTTGAGCTATCATTGGTGGCTAGGACGCTTCTGAAATAGTAGCTATATAGATCAGTGGACCTTACCTGGTTAAATGAAAATAGTGAACAAAAAATAGTTCACGCGGTCTTGGGCAGCCTGTCGACTACGTCTGTTCTTTCTGTCTCCCATCACCGCTCTCATCTCCCATGACCCCTCCTGTGTCTTCTCTCCATTACTCCTATTACCCTCTGCCTGTGTTCTCCCATCTCTCTGTGTCCCTCGTGTTCATTCCGTCTCTGTCGACGACTCTCTCCTGTCCCATCCCCTAATCCCATCTCTCCGCACCCCAACCCCCTTGTCTTTCCGGATAGCGTCGGAGCAGCGGTTAGCGCTCTGCACTACTAACCCGGTGACCTCGGTTCGATTGACCCAACATAATTTATAATATATATACGATTCCACTCCACTACCACCAACATCGGTGCCTCGTGATATCTGAACCAGGCCGTGTGGGAGGAAGCTGGTGCACCCGTAGAACACCCACGTGTGCAAGGGGGCAACGCTCTATCCCCGAACAGCTGTAACAAATAACAACGACTTACATGCATTTGAAAGGCGCCTTCCACTACACCGCCTTCTCCTGGCGAGCCAGGGTATGGCACCCCCCTTCGACAACTCTCATCCCCGTGCCCCCCCACCCTCCCTGTCCCCCCCCCCCTCGCCGTGTACAGGTGGTGCTGTGGGGCCGCACGGAGAGCTGCCTGCGGGAGGCGTGCCACGCGGTGCGCTCGCTGGGCACTGAGTGCCACTACGCCGTGTGCGACGTCGCCAACCGCGAGCAGGTCTACCGCGAGGCCCGCGCCGTGCGCGACAAGGTCGGGAGACGCGCGGGGAAGAGGGAGGGAGGAGGGAGGGAGGTCGTGGGGAGGTCGCAGGGAGATCGCGGGGAGGTCGTGGGGAGGTCGCGGGGAGGTCGCGGGGAGGTCGCGGGGAGGGAAGTGTCTGATTGTGCTTGTGTTCATCTTCTTGGTTCTTTCGGTAAAGTCACGTAGAAGGGAAATAATAAAATATTGAAATAAAATAAAACATAATGAAATACAATTCTCACGACGTTTCGGCCACAATTTCAGACGCTGTCTTTCCGACAGACCTGTTCTTCACCTGAGGACGGCTGCTTGCGTTGTGGCCGAAACGTCGTGAGAATCGTATTTTATTATGTTTTATTTTTATTATTTTATTATTTCCCTTCTACGTGACTTTACCGAAAGAACCAAGAAGACGAATCCCTGCAGTCACGAAAGCTTTAAATAAAAAAATGTGCTTGTGTTGTTGATGGTGCTGCTGGTGTTACTGCTGGGGCTGCGGATATTGATGGTGCTATTGCTGCTGTCACTTGCGATGCTGCTGGTGCTGGTGGTGCTGCTTCTGGGGCTGCTGGTACTGCTGGTGGTGCTGCTGGTACCGTACCGCTTGCGCTGCTGCTGCTGGTGCTACTGCTGATGTTGCACGTGCTGCTGGTGCTGCTGCTGGTGCTGCTGCTGGTACCGTACCGCTTGCGCTGATGTTGCTGCTGCTGCGGGTACTGCTGGTGGTGCTGCTGGTACCGTACCGCTTGCGCTGCTGCTGCTGGTGCTACTGCTGGTGCTACTGCTGATGTTGCTCGTGCTGCTGCTGGTGCTGCTGCTGGTACCGTACCGCTTGCGCTGATGTTGCTGCTGCTGCTGGTACCGTATCGCTTGCGCTGCTGCTGCTGGTGCTGCTGCTGGTGCTACTGCTGATGTTGCTCGTGCTGCTGCTGGTGCTGCTGCTGGTACCGTACCGCTTGCGCTGATGTTGCTGCTGCTGCTGGTGCCGGCCTTGCGTGCAGGTGGGAGACGTCTCGATCTTGGTGAACAACGCCGGGGTGGTGCACGGGAAGCCGCTGTTGGAGAGCGACGATGACGCCCTCCTCAAGACGCAGCACATCAACGTGCTCGCGCAGTTCTGGGTGAGGATGATCACCACCATCACCACCATCACCACCATCATCCTCATCGTCATAACGTACACATCAGTATGGGCATTTGAATGATACGCAGCGTGGAACGCATGGCTTACTAACACAACCAACACCACTACCCGCCATTCACCACGAAGTGACGGTGACGTCACCACGGTGCCTGTGCCAAGCCAGGTGCACTTTAAGAGCGCCGGGCGGCTAAAATGCAAAAAAAGCGGAGGGCCCCGGGAAAAATCCCCGCCGACCCCGGAGAGAGACGCACAGAATATACAGCAGCAGCAGGCGTCACGGTCGGGTTTGAAGCCATGACCTCCTGCATACCAGGCGAGGTAGTTAACATTCCGCCGCCCCCCCCCCCCCACCACGTGACCCGCTGCCTCGTTGCTTGCGTGCGTGCGTCCCCCCAAGACGCTGAAGGCGTTTGTGCGAGGGATGCTGGAGCGCGGGAGTGGCCACGTCGTGAGCGTCAGCTCCGTGCTGGCGCTCGCCGCCATCCCCGGCGCCAGCGACTACTGCGCCTCCAAGGCGGCGGGCTACGCGCTTGCGGAGAGCCTGGCGCTGGGGCTGAGCGGCACGCCCGGGGTGCGCGCCACCACCGTGCTGCCCTACCACACGAGCACCGACATGTTCCGCGGCATGCAGCCCAGGTGCGTGCGTGTGTGTGTGTGCGTGCGTGTGCCCACGTGTGTTTGTGTGTCTGTGTGTGCATGCGTGTGTGTGTGCGTGCGTGTGCGTGCGTGCGTGTTTGCGTGTGTGTGTGCATGTGTGTGCGTGTGCCCACGTGCGTGCGCGTGTGTGTGTGCGTGCGTGTGTGTGTGTGCGTGTGCCCACGTGCGTTTGTGTGTGTGTGTGTTCGTGTTGTCGAAGTTCTCGAGCCTTCGACGCTTCGCGTGGCCTCAAAGTGCACCTGGCCTGGCACAGGCGCCGTGGGGACGTCACCGTCACTTGGTGGCGAGTGGCGGGTAGTGGCGTTGGTATCTGTGTGTGTAGGTTCTGGCCTTCATAGGTGTTCGTTAACAGCACTTGCCCCAACAGTCTGTTAAGACTATACGGGGGGTCTTTGCCTGTGTCTTTTTGCGTGTGTCTGGATGTGGGGAGCGGCGGCGCAGGAGTTAGCTCCCTGCGCTACGAAACCAGTGACCCGAGTTCGATTCCTGCTCACGGCCAACACCAGTGACGAATATCTGAACTGGTCCTGGGCCTCCTCCCCTAGGTCGACTCAGCCTAAAATGAGTACCTGGTGCAGTGTGTAAACATTGCCATCGGGGAGACAAAGGCGGCCGGGTGTGGTGCTGGCCACCCGCCCCCCTGGTGTGTCGTGCCAGCCTTCATAGGTGCTCACTAACATTGCTTGCTCTAATAGTCCGTTGAGGCTATACGGGGGATCTTTGTCTTTGTGCATTGGGATGTGGGGAGCGGTGGCACAGTGGTTAAGCGCGCCGCGCTACGAAACCACCACCACCTCCACCAGTACCACTGACACCACCGCCACCATCTTCGTCATCATCACCACCGTCCACCAGCACTACCACCAATACCGCCACCATCTTCGCGTGTCTCCGCCTATGTCCGTGTGTCTCTGCGTGTCTCCGCATTTTTTCGCGAGTATCCGCGTGTCTCCGTGTGTCTCTGCCTGTCTCTGCAAGTCTCCGCGTGTCTCCGTGTGTCTCTGCCTGTCTCTGCGAGTCTCCGCGTTTCTTTGCGTGTATCTTCGCGAGTCTCCGTGAGTACCGTGTGTCTAACCGTGAGTCTCTGCGAGTCTCCGTGAGTACCGTGTGTCTAACCGCGAGTCTCTGCGCAGGTTCCCGTGGCTCTTCCCGCCACTGGAGCCGGAGACGGTGGCCCGGCGCACGGTGCAGGCGGTGAGGGAGGGCCGCGCCTTCCTGCTGCTGCCCTGGACCATGAACTTCCTCATCATCATGAAGAGGTGCAGATCGAACTCTCTCGCTCGCTCGATCAATCGCTCACTCAATTGGTCGCGTGGTCACTCGCTCGCTCGCGCAATCACTCACTCATAGGACTAAGCAATCGCAGCATCGCAGTGTCCCACCGTGGTCGTCATTGACGCCGCCGCCTCGTAAAGAGCAGCTAAAGGCACAGCCCCCCGCAGTTAACTGGCTCACGCCTCTGCTGACGGAAGGGCCTCCACTACTAAAGAGGGCCTCGGATAGCACCCTCGAGGGAGTTGTTTGGCCTTTCTCTTCCACGCCTTGCCCGACGTCTTGGGAGAGGTGGGAGTAACCACACTTTACCCCAAGGCAGGCAACCTGCTGTCGTGTACGCGATTGTGCTGCCGGGTGGATAGAGAGTGGTGGAGGGGTGGGGGGGGGTATAGGGGCAGGGGGGAGGTTTTGAAGAAACTTTGTAATTTATTCGACTGCTGTCGCGCCAGGAGACGGTAGAGAACCTGGCGACCTCCGGGTTTCAGGTCGAGCGTGCTAGTCCATGAGACCGGGGGGCAGCAGCAGAGACCACTTCATTTGCAAAGTCCACGGTGCAGAAATTGTCAAACAAACGCATCAAATTCTTTTTTTACGATTTTTATTTTACCACGTAAGGCCCACTGAGCTACGTAGCTCTTTTTCAGAAGCGACCTGGCCCACAAATGATAGCCCAACGAGAAGCGGCTTGCCATCATGTGGACATTTATAGTAGCCGAATTCTCAAAATGCACGTTTCTCAATGTGGAGGGAAATACCGGAGGACTCTGGAAAAATCCACGTGACCATGGGGAGAGAGAGAGAGAGACACGCAAACTCCAAATACACAGCAGCAGGCGTCAGGGTCGGGATCAAACCCACGACCTCCTGCTCACCAGGCGAGGTAGTGAACATCTCCTAGCCACCGTGGTGATGATGATGATGAGAGAGAGACACGCGAACTCCAAATACACAGCAGCAGGCGTCAGGTTCGAGATCGAACCCACGACCTCCTCCATACCAGGCGAGGGAGATAACATTTCGCCAGTATGGCGCGGTGAGAGCGTTGTCATTGACCAATTGGTTTACTGTTCACGTGCGGAGTGTAATTAGTTAGGGCGCCACGGTGGCGAGATGTTATTTCCCTCGCCCGGTATGCAGGAGGTCGTCGGTTAGACCCCGACCCTGACGCCTGCTGCTGTATATTTGGAGTTTGCGTGTCTCTTTCTCTCCCCATGGTGAGACGTTAACAACCTCGTGTGGTCTACAGGTGGTAGTGGGTTCGCTCCCGACCATGACGACCGCTGCTGTGTATTTGGAGTTGGCGTGTTCTTCCCGTGGTGATGTGGATGTTTCTCCGGGTCCTCCAGTTTTTTTTCCCTCCACATTTAGAACCAACATACATTTGGAGTATTTGTCCACGTGATGATGAGCCACTTAGCTGAGCTATCATTTGTGACCAGGTCGCTTCTGAAATATACCTTCATAGTCCAGTTGTCCTTACGCTGGTAAAATAAAAAAAAGGTTTTAATATGATAATTGTTTTTGTACCCTTCTATCTGGCAACAAAACTAACACCTTTTTTACAAGGAGTCATGTTTGCATTGACCACAATACCTGCAGTCAAAATGCAAACAAAAAACATAACTCTGATAATATATGCACTGTCCTTGAAGTTGATTGGTCCACACCCGAGACAGCTTTCCTTAGAGCCTAGTCTCACATGGTGTTGGACCAGATGACGCCAAAAGGCGCACAACTCAAAAGGTTTTAATAGTTTAAAATATTAATCTCTGTGCCATGTTGCCTCTCTGTCTCTCTGCCTCCCTCTCTCTGCCTCTCTCTCTCCACACCCGCAGCATCCTCCCACAGCCGGCGCTCGACGAAATCTACAAGTTCACGGGCAGCTACACCTGCATGCAGACCTTCAAGGGCCGGGCCTAAAGTTCAACACCGCACTACACCGCCCCCCCCCCCCCCCCCCCCCCCCCGATCGGACTGATCCAAAGGGTTCTACAGCGACCCCCCCCAGGGCCTGGGAGTCGTTAGCGGGCTCTTCTTCGGGGTGGGGGGGGGCCTGGGGGATAAAGTGGGGGGGAGAGGGGGCAGAGAGAGGGGGGTGCTGGCGGGGGTTGGAGGGTTGACGCTGGGGGTGGCTGAGCGGCGTGGTGCAATGTGTGTGTGGTGGGGACGTGCGTTTAACTTTTTCTCGCACCGCACGCAGCCAACCGCACCGGTGGGAGGTGCGTTGTCGCCGCGACTGCTGCCGGCGCGGTTTGCTGCGGGGGTGTGGCGAGCCGGCTGCTGCTGCTGCTGCGGTGTGCTTGCGTATCGTTGTGACTGGGGCTGCTGGTGGGGGGCCTATGTGGTTATTGGGGGTGGTGGCAGGGTGGGGTGTGATTGAATGTTGTTGTGATTTGGTGGTGTTGCTGGTGGTGGTGGTGGTGTGGTTACGGTTGTTGGTTGTGATGGGCGTGGAGTGGTGCTGTGTTGTTAGGGGCTGGGGTTGTGCGGCTGTGGTTGTTGAGTGTGGTGGTGGCGGCAGCGGGTTGTGTAATGTTGTTGAGTTAATGTTGTCTCGTGACTGTTACTGGAGTGGTGTTGGTGGTGGTGTGGTTCCAGGCAGTGTGAGTGGTCAGCCACGGTGGTATGGGTTGTGGTTACCGAGTGTGCTTTGTTGATGGTTTGTGATTGTGTGTGTGGGTTGGTGTGTGTGTTGGGTGTGTGTGTTAGTGTGGTGTGTGTTGGCATGTGTGTTGGTGGCATGTGTGTTGGTATGTGTGTTGATCTGTGTTCGTGGGGTTTTTGACTATTCGTGCGAGGTACCTCTCCCTACGGGATTGTGCGATGTTTAATTTTAAAGCAAAATGTAAATTTTATACGTCGACGAATGTCACCATTTCCCATCCTTCCAGACCCGCCGTCGTCAGACTTTTATGTAAAAAGAGACGCCATGGTGCGTGACACGCCACACGCGCGCCGTGTAAATGTCACACGCGTGTGCCGTGTAAGCGCGACGCGTGTGCCGTGTAAACGCGATACACGCGCCGTGTAAACAAAACAAATCAACGGGAGGACACGAACAACACGGCGCCGTACACTTTTGCCCGTGACGTGCGGTGGATTTTAGACGAAAGAATCCACGCCACGGGACTCGTGCTAATCCCTGCGTCAAGGTCTCCCCCTCTTTCTCTTTCTCTTCGCTCGCGCGCCGATTTGAAGGGGGGGCCACGCACTAAGCGGATTCATTATCCGAGATTCCGATGTTGTTGCTGTTTCTGTTCTTAAATCCATTCCCCGTGCACCTTCGCGTCAGCGTTTTTGGGACTTTGTGCGATGCGCGCGTGTGTGGAGCAGTATCATGCGCATGCGTGTGTGCATGTGTGTGTGGAGCAGTAGTGTGTGGAGCGGTGGTGCAGCGGTTAGAGCGCTGGGCTCCGACACGCCCCGGGAGATCCGAGTTCGATTCCCGCTCACGGCCACCAACGCCGGTGACGATGATCTGAACCGGTCCTGGGCCTCCGCTAGGTCGACTCAGCCTCAAATGACTACCTGGTGCGGTGTGTAAACATCGCTACTGGGAAGACAAAGGCGGCCGGGCGTGGTGCTGACCACCCACCCCCTCTCGTGTGCCGTGCCGGCCTTCACAGGTGCTGTTGCTGCTCGCTAAGTCTCCCCCTTAAGATACTGGACTCAAATATTAGCACGGTTGGCTACGTACAGTGTGAAAGAAGTTCAACATACATCGCCGCCATCATCGTCGTTGTGGTGCGTCACCCGGCACTCACGGCGCACGCGAGCGTTAGACGAGGCCCGAACGCGCCGACGGGATTCCTGAAGCCCAGACGAACGGGAGTAGCGGTCACGCAGAGGTCGCAAACGGGTTTTGATTCCTTACCCGTATCCGGCCGCACCAGGGTCGCAAATGGGTACCCGTACCCGTACCCGGCCAGGTACGCTACTCGTTCCCTACCCGTACCCTACCCGAAATGAGTGACAAACGGTGACTCACCGGTGACTCACGGCCTACCCGTACCCGGTCGCAAATGGGTACCTGTACCCGGCCGGGTACGGGTAGCCGGGTATCAGGTAGGGTACGGGTATCGGGTACCCGGTTGCGACCTCTGCGGTCACGGCAGCACGCGGGACGCTCCGCTCTGCGAGCTCTGGGCGAGGGTTCGACTCCGAGACGGGGCCACGCGCCTCGCCGGTCTGTACCGCCTGGGGCGGTGGCGGCGGTGGCGGCGGCGGCGGCGGCGGCGGCATCATCGCCGCCGCCACCGCTTCGGTGATTCCACTCTCTCGGTGTGACCAATACCGTGAATTACGGTGGGATTTTGATCTGACCCTTGTACTATCTGGGGCTCCGAGGCTGTGGGTCGTTTGTGAATCTGTGGGTTTCTGAGTCTGTGGGTCTCTTGAGTCTGTGGGTTTCTGAGTGTGTGGGTCTCTGCATCTGTGGGTTTCTGAGTATGTGGGTTTCTGGATCTGTGGGTTTCTGAGTCTGTGGGTCTCTGAATCTGTGGGTCTCCGAATATATGGGTTTCTGAGTCTGTGGGTCTCTGAACCTGTAAGTTTCTGAGTCTTTGGCACACGTGAACTTAGATTCACGAGTTTATATACAACACCGATACGATGTAATGAAAAAACCCAGTTATGAATGGGTGTATGCGAACTTCGTGTGCAGTACGTCACGCGGTCTCTTCGTCAATGCTGCAGCGCCACCTCGTGTCGCAGACGAGACTGCGGTGGTCGTACAATAACAAAACAATGGCCCAGGTGGACGTGTCGTTGAAGCACGGAGCTGTGATCAATCGCACGGTGAAGGACTCTCACACGTGGGATCCAATGCCAGGAAGTGGCAGTGAGCCCCAAACAACGAACGCACTGGGGAAGTGAATTTGGAGACATCGTATTTAATTCATAAAGTCGGATTTTACATATGAAAGGTTTTTTTTTGTTTTTACTCAAAGGGTGGCCATTGCTTGCCCTCCAGCTTAGCCGGTGGCTCGCAGCACCAGCAGCTACAGCAGAACCAGCAGTAGCAGCAGCACCACCAGCAGCTGCAGCAGCAGCTGCACAAGCAGCACCAGCAGCAGCTGCAGCGGCAACAGCAGCAGCACCAGCAGCTGCAGCAGCTGCACCAGCAGCAGCAGCAACGGGCCTCAATCCGGGGGTTACGCTCGGCCCTGGGCAAGGAGCGGCCCCCCTTTCCCGCTTCTCCCCCAACCACAGGACCGTCTGGACCAGTATTCACTCGTGTTCAGAGGGGGGCCAATTTCGCTGTTCAGAGATCCTCGGCGTGAGGGAGCTGCCACAACATTTGAAACCATTGGGGGGGTTGACAGCAGCACGACGACGATGATGATGATGGGGGGTGTTGAAACTCGTCGTGTATTGTCGGAGGGCCGCAAGTCGGGCCACCAGTGACCCGTGCACCATGCAATGAAGAACACTGCCCTGGGATATCGACAGGGCCGTCCATAGCGAGGGGGGGGGGGGGGGTCGTGGGTCCCCGAGGCAAATCACACCGTGTGGGAGTGTGACAACACCTTCAATCACCTCCGATTAGCACGGTCAGCTGCGTACGGTGCGAAAGAAGTTCTACACACACATACACACACCACACCGGAAGTATTACATCTGACGCAGCGAGGTCTAAACGCGCCCCCCAAAGCGCGGGGCCCGGGGCGCCCGCCCGCCACCCCGGTGGTGGTCACCACCCCGGGCAGGGCAGCCAGGCCCAGCGCCAGGCGCCCGAGTCGGAGCGACTGGCGAGAACGCGGCCCTGGGGCAGGCGCAGCGTGCGCACCGTGCCGTGGTGACGCACCCACGTGCGGAACACCGGCTCGCCGCACGCACGCGGCGGCGGGTCGCGGAGGTCGCGGAGACCCGGAGCCGGGAGCGTGGAGTCGTCGCCGCACGGAGCGGGAGTCGACGTGGGGCGTGGGCTCCCGGCGGCGTCGTCGGCGGCGGCGGCGGGCGGGGAGCGCCGCTGGTCCCGGTGCGGTGGTGGCGGTGGCGACGTGGTGGTGGATGTTGAGGCCGCCGAGCCCCAAATCCTGAACGTGGTGGTGACGACGCCTGCGGGGGAAGTATGGCCGTCCCTCGATAATCGATATTCACCAACTCGCACCTCTGGTCGTGCGCCACTTGCCGCCACATTGGCACGTAGACCACCGTACAACGTCCACGCACATGTACACTTGCGTACTGTAACAAAGGTGGACTCACGTTTATCATACACTCCACTGAAGTTCACACGTCTACTTTATTATGTGAACGCGAGTGTGTGTGGGAGAGGGGGGCACGCCCGTGGTGGAGGGGCACGTGTGTGTGTGGGGGGGGGGGGGGGGCACGTGTGTGGGGGGGGGGGTGGCACGTGTGTGGTGGAGGGACACGTGTGTGTGTGTGTGTGGGGGGGGGGGTGGCATGTGTGTGTGTGGGGGGGGGGGGTGGCATGTGTGTGTGTGGGGGGGCTCTCCTCTCTCACCTGGCGAGGGGAGGCTCTGTGCTGGCGGGCGCCTGACCAGGTAAACACGGTGCGCGGTGCTCCGCAGGGCCACCTCGTGCTCAGACGACGGCTCCATGACGTCACAAAGGCGCTAAGATGGCGGCGCCTTCCAACCGTCGATTAACCGCGGCGCTATCGCGCGTTGCGCCCTCTCTCTCTCTCCTCGCACCGACACTGCGCAGCAGGTGGTCTCTGAACGTCACACCAGGCGTACATGAACGTCGTGTTGTGAATCAAATGTCGGGTTTTGTCTAAAGCGCACAATTCGATTTGATGGGCTCTGTCGCCTGCGTGCCTGGAGTGGTTGGAGGTAAGAGTTTACTTACATAACACACTACACGGCGATTCAACCCCAAATAAACTACTCATGAATGAGTCGTATATTGTTTGACACCATTTACATGCCGTCAATAGGGTGACTGACTACATACGCAAGGGGGAGAGAGCACGTTGGCCGATTTGCACAAAGTTCACGGTTCGATTCCTTTCCGCGCGGAGACCCTTCGCGACCAACTTTTCTCCACAATTCTGGCTGTCGCACCGGCGAAGCGTCACGGTATGCGAATTGTTAACGCTGCT